TCGGTAGATCGTAATCCCGCCAGCTGATTGCACGAAGGCAAACCAGGAAGATGATATTTTCGGCAGCGGAAAGTGCAAACTTCTTAAACTGCACTGCCAGTTGTTATTTCTAAAGGTGATACTTAACTCACTAGACAACCTGTAGCCATTACACAGAATAAAACTAGCAATTTTTGGCTGAATATGGATAACAACAGCAACATCAGCAGCACCTTGCCATCAACCACAGTATCTCCATCTGCTGGCAATGACCAGGGTGGATTAGTGTTTGTTGTCCTGTCTTGTTTGTGTGCCAGCCTGTGGGTTATCTACATCACTTTCTATCATTCCCGTGTATTGGGCTACATTCTTACACGACTGATCAATTTCAAGTACATTGAAAATGGACAATACTTCAAGATTGGTAAGTTTAAAAATAAATAAATAAAATATAAATAATTTTATTTAAGTGTCAAATGTATTTAGCACTGTTGCACTAACCGGGGACACTGTAAATAAATAAAAAATATTTCAAATAGAACATAAATGATTCAGAATCCCAGTTGGTGGGAGGCCAATCAGTTGGCTATTTACACAATGGTGTTGAGGAGTTGAACTTGGGACTGCCGAGAACAAATCCAGATAGTGGTAGGGTGTCAAGAATTTGAACCAGGGACCTCCAGATTTCAAATGCAGTGCCCTAAACGACTCAGCCATACCACCTCCACTCTACTCAACGAGACTGTGAGCTTGAGGTTTCTGTTGACTATCAAAGCTATCAAAGAGTCGAGGAAACTAAGAGCGAGTTGTCTTACCATGTTAGTTTATACCATTAACACACCAACTTATTTATTTTAAACAGAATAAAATTTTGCTAAAAGTGAGTTATTGACCCATGGTTTTCAAGCTGTAGGCTCCAAGGCAAAAAAGTGTATGTGTGCAGCTGGACTCACCCTACAGACAAACCCCTACCCTGTACCAGACTGATTTGTTTTCAATTTTGTTTTCATTTTGTTGTGGTAAATGTTAACTAGGAAACCATTTCTGATACTGACTCCCTTAAGATTCTTAAAATTGGTGCTGAGCTCCCATCAAAAGTCATTCTGCACCAAAAAACAATCTGCACCACGTTTCGATGAGAGAAAAGTTTTTTTCAGGGTTTCCAGAATTCACGTGATGACCAATATAATAGGATCCCAATACTAGTTAGATGCTTGGCAAGAGTTTTAATTTAATGTAACAATGTAAAAACTACCATTAAAATTTATTTTGTGATTCAACAGGCTCCTTTTCCTTCTCCATATTATCTGGAAAGATCATGTTTAGGGATGTTGTCTATGTGACTCAAGATCTCAGTTTCAGGTGGGTAAAGCATTTTCCATTTTTTTTTCATGTAATGTTTTCATTTTCATTTTCATTTTATTACATTTACATCACAAGTATTGCTCTATTTTTAAAGTCAATTTGTTAGAAACCATATGGTACAAGTCTTCCTATCTATGAAAAGGATGTAAGAATAGAAATCTCCTAACCTGAATCAATAGCCATGTTTATCATATGTCATCTTTTAGCCTGAACTATTTTCCATTGGGCTAGCACATCTAACTTTCAAACTCTTTGTTAATCCACTGGCTAGTATTTTACTGCTACTGCTGTATTGATTAAACAAGGACACATATCGCTTGTAAACACTGTAGCCTCAATCAACAGCTGAAGAGCTGGTACATATAAGTTTTAAGTATAAATCTACCAGCATTCTATCACGAATGCTGTTGTTTTATTGGCTATGCTACTTACTGTCTATTCTGTTGTATCTAATGTGTAGCCTAGCAGTGTGCAGTTGTTAACAAAATGGTGGCTGCTTCTCTACTATTTCGAAGTGTCTGTCAAGAGGATTTAGATAAATTTTGTTGATTGACTAGTAGATTTATACATTAAACAATAAGATTATTCACTCGTGATTTCTATGTGTAATAGTTAATCAGGGAATTGTATCTAAGTCTAGCCAATTTTAGCAGGATTACAGCCTCTTT